AAGCTAGAACCCAAAGTTACTGTTTCTGTTCAGATGTCGCAAATCACATGCCTCACACCTTTTCCACTGGAAACTGTCAACAACAGGTAACATCTGGCAAATACAGTTGTGAGATATTTGGATAGATAAAAAGCACAATTAAAACATCAGCGATACTGTCGGTGTTCAAGAACTGAACATGAGAAATGCCACGGGAGAAGCCAACACTTTGTCCCTGATGACTAATGTTGAACGAGCAAGATTATGCTCATCAGAAATGTTGGGTTTTAAAAGATTAGTTGTCTGAAACAGTTTTTTAACAACAAAATGAAAAATTCTTGTGAAGAAAAGTCCTAGAGACCATTTTTCACCAAATCAAAGTGGAGCCTCTGTCACAGTTGAAGGGGATCAGGCCCCATGCACATGTAGAAATACACTGTAGGCTTTTGCCAATGTGTAACTCAAGGCCTGTATTTAATCAAATGGGTCAAATAAATCATATTCATATGGAATTTCACATCTTATTGATCATTTTAAAAAAGTAACCACTTCCATCACCTTACAAATATGAAACTGGACCAACTGATTACTAGCAGCCTGATTTGGGGCAAGACAAAAAAAAATGACAGCCATCTTAAAACAACTCCAATTTCAACAATATTATATATGCTTGCAAATGCTACTTTAGAAAGCGTAGTTAAAACATACAATCACATATTGTAATTATATCCCCGCTGTAAGCTCCGGGCTGAACCACCACAGCTGCATTTATGTTTCAGATGAATTATGTTAAAACTGTGTAACAAATAAACTGCTGGTGATGTGATGGTTTAAAAATGTTTGCATGGCCTACTTTTTTTGGATAATTTGTGAGAATTAAACCACGTTGCTTTTCATTATTCCCGTCAGCTACGTCAGAACCGTGGTGGGGATGGGTTTACCCATTTCCTCTGTTTCTGTGAAAAATGTTTATTTTTAATTTTCTTCCATTGCTTCTCACATGTAGTGTTACGCAATTGGAAATTTTGCACAGCAATAAAATTTTTTGAATGATTCGGTTATAAATTAACCTTTAAATTCATGCATCCTGGAAACCAACTTTTTTTCCCTAATGTGCAAAGCAGAAGATGGACTTTTTCAGAGTTCAAGAAGTGATTGCATGAACGACACAACCGCATGTTTTTGGATTGTGGAAGAAAACAGAAGAAAATGCAGGCGTGCAAATGGGAGAAGAGGAAAAACTGCCCCAAAAAGTCCAAGACTCATAGATTCCTGAAGCAATCTGAGAGGGAATGTAAAACTATTGCATCAGTCTGAAGCCTGGTACGTTCACAATAACAATTATCATCAGATTGTTAAATCATTAGTATTTAATTAAAGAACAAGCCACTCAAACAGACTTTGATGCAAGCACCCTAAAAGCTTAATTTCAGCAACAAGTAAATAATCATACATGGTAAATGGCCTGTTTTTATATAGCACCTTCTAGAGTTCTAGAATGCCCCCAGATGCTTTACACCACATCTTAAAGGGCCCTGCTTTCTGGGAATGACACATTGAGAATTGTATTGGTTTTTTCCTACTCCATTAGTGCACTTGATCATACTGATCTATGAATGTGTGCATGAGTGAGGAAGGACAGCGTAGCTCAGTAAAACCAGACAAAGAGATAGTGGGTGTCTTTTATAGGATGTTGGCCAATCTGATGTTTTATGCACCTATAAAGAGCTGAGTTCCAAGGCCATGTTGACTTTTCATGGTTTAGAAACGGAATCAGCCATCTGGAAAAAGGTTGCATTGTGGGAGATCGAAGTTAAGTGCAGCATCAAAAGCTTTTACCCATTCACAGTTTGTCAGAATTGAAAGCCAGAGGTGCCTGAGTCTTGTAGTCACCTTATTAATGGACAATTTTCATCTACAGTCTGTACGCATACAAACTTATTGTGTTTGTGTGTGTTTGTGTGTGTTTGTGTTTTTTTTTCCTGCTTGTATTTGTTACTGGTTTGCTGTAATTTTACAGTTTCCTCCCACACCTCTGTCAGAAGTCTTTCTCTTATCTTGAGGGCATTCAATTATTTTAATGAACTAATGTGTCTTCTTTAATTAAACTGTGAAAAAGTACTCCTTTTTACTAAAAATGGCTCAATTTTTAGAAATAAACCTGTGTTGAGCAGCTATATTTACATCATACATGGAAAAACTCAATTTCACTGGTCTCACTTGTATGTACACAACTTGGAGGCACTGGATTAAAAAAACAGTAATTAAACTACTGTTAACAGGAAATATGCCATCAGATTGTGTAATATTTCTCTGCAAGACACTCATCGCTACTCTCTAGATGACTGCACTGCTTCAGTACTTAAATAACCTCTTGTTTATGTTGATGTTTATTCCTTTCGCAGACGCTTTTATCCAAAGCGACTTACATTTTATAACCTACAGGGCATGTTGTGATCTGTGGGGGAAACCGGAGTACCCGGAGGAAACCCACGCATGCATGGGGAGAACACGCAACTCCACGCAGAAAGGCCGCAGGCGAGTTTTGAACCTGCGACCTTCATGCTGCGAGGCAACAGTGCTAACCACTGCGCCACCATGCCGCCAACATGCTTGTCTTTTTAAGCATTTTATTTTGAAATTTCTAAAAAATTACAAATATTTAACCATTCCTCTTTACTTTTTAACATCCAAGAAGAAACAGTGGACATTTATTTGATGTTTGTTTAAGTAAAGTAAGGGAATAAAATCAGCTCTACCAAACTCCAACTGTTGGCCAGAACATTAAAAACTAAAGAAGGCTCCATATTGCAAGCATCAGTAAATACCATTGAAAAGCTTCTCCAGTCTCACTGAAAATGTGATATCCTAAGTTGAAGAGCACAATGTTTGTGTCAAGCCTTCAAAAAATTGTGATTTACAAATGCTGAGGCAACAACATTAAAGCTGCGATGGCAAATCATCCAAACAAGCTTGATTAAAACATTTTCTTCATGCCTCTTAACAACGTTCTAACAAAGCCTAGCTATAAATATGTTGTGGAGATTGATAAAAGAAGTAACAAATTGGTTCTCTTGCATTTGTTTGAAAGCCTCAGCCAATAATACAGCTCAGTCTGAAACCAACCATTGGACCATCACATTTGCCTTGGTTCTCCATTCATGACGTACTCACATTTTACAACAGAACACCTGTGGTGTGAGAGGTTCTCCGCTCAATAATATCAGAAGGAGAAACAACTGTCAGCTACCACATCAGCTTTAGGACAAACTACTTTGGTCCCAAAAAGAAAAACACCATTTGAAGTAGCAGAAAACTAAATAAGTTTAGACCTCAAAAACTGCGGCTGGTGTTTGGAGCTATCTCGTTTACTCTGGCAATGCGGGTTCAGGGGGACGTTGCCGATGAGAGGGGTGAGAGCTCCATGGCTGTGTTGGTGATTAAAAGCTTGATTAGCAGATTCGGTGAAGCAGCTTTAAACACAAGACTTATTATTGATCTTTTACTATCAAGACAAAGACCTCAAACTTATGTCTTTTGGTCACTATATTTTCCTTAGCATTATTAAATATACATACGGTTTGAAAATATTTTTGATGCAGTTTTCTTGGAACGTTCTTCTGTCACACATAAAAAAAATAGGAAGTTGAGTGTATTTTATAAAATGCCTAATAAATAAATCAGTATTTGACACAGTAAATATTTAAACAACAACAAGGTGATTCCCAAAGAAACATTGGGGGGAAATGTGTCATACTCTATGATGTATTTCTCAGGCCCAATGTAAGGACTTCTGTGGAATTATATTTCCTTACTGGTTCTTAGTCACAAATTGCAAAAAACTGTATATGTTGTAGATCTAATTTTGAGTTTCTCACACATTTATGACAGTTTTGTCCTATATGTACTTTTTAAGCACAAACTGAACAATATGCAGTTATGATCAAGTTCAAAAACTGGACAAAGTGTGCAAAAAGTGACACAAAAATATTTTAACGTCCTTTAAAATAGGAGAAAGACAATCAAATTTACGTTAAAAGATTGAGTTGCTTGATAGCAAAAATAATAATAATAATTGGATTGTACAAAATGTTTATGGTGTGTTAATTTTTAGCAAGTTTAGCTTAAGCCAGGGCCTCGAGGGCCGGTATCCAGCACGTTTTGGTGGTTTCTCTGCTCAAACACACTTGATTCAGTGGTTGAGTCACTTGTGCAGCAGCCCATCGGGTTCTGCAGAAGCCTGTTTATCACCTGCTGATTGAAATCAGGTGTGTTGAAGCAGGGTTAAAAGTAAAACATGCTGGATACCGGCCCTCGAGGCCCAGAATTGAAAAGCCCTGACTTAAGCTGTTGAGTAGTACTTTTTATTTATATGGTTTAAAAATACATAATTTTTTTGAAAATGGAGTAGAAATGATTTAGTTAAACCCTGCAGTGTTTCAACATCCTAATAATGGCTCTGGATACCAGTAAAGCCCAGTCAGAGAGCCCCTTTACCCAATTATTAGTACAATAAATGCATTTAGAACAACAATGCATTCTATTAGAAATGATTGATGGGAAATAAAGAAGAAGCAAATGCACAGTAATCAAGCTTTGGAAAAGTGCTTCTAGCTATTATACATTCTAACAAGCTAATTATGTGTCCCTTTGTGCAAATGTAAACACTCTAAAATGATTCCAATCGGTCCTCTTGGGCTTTCTTTAGCGCTGGGCCAAGAATGAAGACCTTGAATATGAACATCGTTATCTTATTGCAGACCGTTTCCATTTTGGAGATAAGTCTTCCAAATCAAAGGTTTAAGTTTTCAAACACAGCTCTTTTTTATTTATTTTAATTAGCAGCAGTAAAAATCATGTTTGTGACCATAAAACTCCATAGAAGAGTTCAATGGCCTTCAGGTGAAGTTGTAGTTTACCCCAATGAGCCGTCAGCATTTCACTCACTTTATGTGACTTCCATAAAGACCTGTTCTTGCAGTTATTGCCCTGCCCGTGCTTCATCTTCAGTTGTAATTGCTCTCTTGTGTCGTCACATGCAAACGAAGGAGGTGGTGAGAGGCATACTGTGCATAAAAAGAGAGCGGTCTTGTTTCCAGCACCTTGCATTTCCCTCTGCTTGCCTCAGCATCTCTGCTACTTCTCAACCAACCACCACCAGAATGGCCTTCGCTGGAAAATGGGAAGTCGAGACCCAGGAGGGTTACGATGACTTTTGCAGGCTGCTTGGTGAGATCCAAGACAAAATCCACAATTATACTTGGATGCATTTTCTGGGGTTGTCTGACCTCTGTTCCATTCCAGGTATCCCAGAAGACATCATTGAGAAGGGCCGTGATTACAAGATGATCACAGAAGTCACCCAAGATGGAAATACATTTTCCTGGACACATGTTTACCCCAAGAATGCCATGGTCACCAACAAATTTACCATTGGCGAAGAGAGTGACATGCAGACCATCGGAGGAAAGAAATTTAAGGTAGGATGGAAGAATGGTTGGTGTGTCAGCTGATCAGGTCGTTGTCACTGTGATTTTCTATGCTTTGTGTTTGTTAACAGGCCACAGTGAACATGGAGGGTGGCAAGCTGGTCGCAAGCTTCCCTAACTACCGTCAAGTCAGCGAGATCAGTGGAGGCAAACTCGTCGAGGTAAACACTCTGCCTCGGGCTGATACATTAATGCAGTTATAGCAGTTACAGCTGCACTGATCATTACAGTCATCAACGTTTCTGCTGCTGGGGAGCAGCTAGAGTCAACGATAAATGACATCACTAAATGCATCTTAGTGAATGATTGAACTGATTCCGGTAGCTTTCATGTTTTGAAAATAGCATTTACAAGGCTTACAGACTGAAAATGGAATTTATTTACTGTCATATTGATAAATCATGCTATTACTGTAGAGGTAGAGCAGGTTGTCCAGTAGTCGTAAGGTTGCAGGTTTGATTCCTGGCCCTGCAAGAGAATTCTGCTGTTGTGTCCTTGGGCAAGACACAACCCACCTTGTCTGCAGGTGGTGGTTGAAGGGACCAATGGCGAATGTGCTTGGAAAGCCTCGCCTCTGTCAGTGTGCCCCAGAGCAGCTGTTGCTACAATGTAGCTCATCACCACCAGTGTGTGAATGTGTGTGTGAAAGGATGAATGATACACTGTGGTGTAAAGCGCTTTGGAGTCCTCTAACTCAGAAAGGCGTTGTACAATTGCAGGTCACTTATAATTTATCATTTACTTTGATGACATTTGCCACATTTTTGTTCTTTTTTTAGGTCGCAACAGCTGGCACCGTTGTGCTGAAGAGAGTCAGTAGGAAGGTCTAACTAACCTTTGACCTGTTTCACATCTACAACTAAGATCTTGGAACTAAAGTAACAATAAAATAAGATTTATACTAACATAAACCTTTGTGTTTGTTATTCATTTCCACATAATTGTGACTCAGCATAAAATTATATTAGTTAGAACTTGACTTCAACAGTGAGTCAGGGAAATGTGACTGAAGTTAATATCTGCAGGCATGCAGGGATCACTGGATCCGTGGGGATGTTGCCCTGAGAGATTTGAGAGGGTTCCTTTTTTCAGTAATCTTATATTTTTGGAAAAGATTCACTGTCGACTCGCCAGAAGTTATACTGCAATTATTACTCCAATCAAAACGCACAAGATCTGGTGTATGGCTGACACTGATCACTAGGTACTGCTGCGGATGGAATCCATTAAAATCTTACAGTAAATGTGTAGCATTATGGATGACCGTCTTTCTGGGACAAAGTTCACGTTCCAGCTACAGTGGGGCAAAAAAGTATTTAGTCAGCCACCGATTGTGCAAGTTCTCCCACTTAAAATGATGACAGAGGTCAGTAATTTTCATCATAGGTACACTTCAACTGTGAGAGACAGAATGTGAAAAAAAAAATCCATGAATTCACATGGCAGGATTTTTAAAGAATTTATTTGTAAATCAGGGTGGAAAATAAGTATTTGGTCAATAACAAAAATTCAACTCAATACTTTGTAACATAACCTTTGTTGGCAAAAACAGAGGTCAAACGATTACTATAGTCTTTACCAGGTTTGCACACACAGTAGCTGGTATTTTAGCCCATTACTCCATGCAGATCTTCTCGAGAGCAGTGATGTTTTGGGGCTGTCGCCGAGCAACACGGACTTTCAACTCCCTCCACAGATTTTCTATGGGGTTGAGGTCTGGAGACTGGCTAGGCCACTCCAGGACTTTCAAATGCTTCTTACGGAGCCACTCCTTTGTTGCCCGGGTGGTGTGTTTGAGATCATTGTCGTGTTGGAAGACCCAGCCACGTTTCATCTTCAAAGCTCTCACTGATGGAAGGAGGTTTTGGCTCAGAATCTCACGATACATGGCCCCATTCATTCTTTCCTCAACACGGATCAGTCGTCCTGTCCCCTTAGCAGAAAAACAGTCCCAAAGCATGATGTTCCCACCCCCATGCTTCACAGTAGGTATGGTGTTCTTGGGATGCAACTCAGTATTCTTTTTCCTCCAAACACGACGAGTTGAGTTTATACCAAAAAGTTCTACTTTGGTTTCATCTGACCACATGACATTCTCCCAATCCTCTGCTGTATCATCCTTGTGCTCTCTGGCAAACTTCAGACAGGCCTGGACATGCACTGGCTTCATCAGTGGAACACGTCTGGCACTGCAGGATTTGATTCCCTGCCGTTGTAGTGTGTTACTGATGGTGACCTTTGTTACTGTGGTCCCAGCTCTCTGCAGGTCATTCACCAGGTCCCCCGTGTGGTTCTGGGATTCTTGCTCACCGTTCTCATGATCATTTTGACCCCACGGGATGAGATCTTGTGTGGAGCCCCAGATCGAGGGAGATTATCAGTGGTCTTGTATGTCTTCCATTTTCTGATAATTGCTCCCACAGTTGATTTTTTCACACCAAGCTGCTTGCCTATTGTAGATTCACTCTTCCCAGTCTGGTGCAGGTCTACAATTCTTTTCCTGGTGTCCTTCAAAAGCTCTTTGGTCTTGGCCATAGTGGAGTTTGGAGTCTGACTGTTTGAGGCTGTGGACAGGTGTCTTTTATACAGATAATGAGTTCAAACAGGTGCCATTAATACAGGTAACGAGTGGAGGACAGAAAAGCTTCTTAAAGAAGACGTTACAGGTCTGTGAGAGCCAGAGATTTTCCTTGTTTGAAGTGACCAAATACTTATTTTCCACCCTGATTTACAAACAAATTCTTTAAAAATCCTGCCATGTGAATTCATGGATTTTTTTTCACATTCTGTCTCTCACAGTTGAAGTGTACCTATGATGAAAAATACTGACCTCTGTCATCATTTTAAGTGTGAGAACTTGCACAATCGATGGCTGACTAAATACTTTTTTGCCCCACTGTAGGTCACAGCTGGGTCTAGATATAACCTTTATCCACAGATTAAAGCCATCAGGAGCCAGAGCGTCTGAAGAATATTCATCAGCCTGACTGTTTATCTGTGTCCATCCCGAGATGAAGGACATCTTCAACTATTATCAAATAACTCAATAAAAGCTTATTATTATGAAGGTTTCAAATAATTATAATAAATAATCATCCTTTTCATATTAAATGTATTCTAATTGATGAAATGTCTTGTTAACCTTGGGTTAATACTAATTATTATTTATGATAATCAGTAATGTTTAATCAGTAACCAGAAGATGCCTTTGCACGTGTCCAGCTCATGCAGGGTTCACTCCAAGGTAAATACTTCACACATGTTTTGACGCATGATCAAAGCTTTCTTCCTGAGAGAGTGGGCGTGTCCTGGAGCTTGGTAAAACTAACCATCCCCAGCTTCAGAACGAGTTCTTGAACCAACACCACAGAGAAAGGGGAAACGGCCGTCCCTGAATCTCCACCTACTGTTCTAGTCACGCCAACTAGAATAAGCCAAAGAATAAACGAACTGTAACCAGCTAACGAAAACTCTCCCAGAGTCATTGATTTCTGAGTTAAGTTAAAAGTGTCACACCCTGTCCTGTCTCCCCATTCTGTTCAGTCCTGTGTCCATGTTAATTGCTCCCACCTGCCTCTCGTTTCTCAATCACCCAAGCTCCCAGCCCTCTTGTATTTAAACCCCTTCAGTTCTGTGTCTCTTGTTGGATCATTGTTTCATTGTCCTACGTGTCCCTGAATAAATCTGTGTTTTAAACGTTCCTGTCTGCCTACCTACCTGCTTCTTCGCCCGTGTGTGGATCCACACCTCCGCTTCGCTCACCGGCACGTACGTGACAGAATGATCCAACCCACTAAAGGATCCAGCGGGGAGATTCTCCCCTGGGAGCGCCTGCTCCAATTTCTCTCCTCGGACCACCGGCCGGCTTCTCCTCCTCCGGCGTCGCCTCGCCACAGAAGCCGCCACCGAACTTCAGCCTCGGCGATCCTCTCCACCCTCCCAGAGCCAGATGAGAGGTTGGACTGGGAGATGCTGCCAGACCGCTCCTGCTACGTGGGCACCAGACTGGCTGTGTGCTCCCCCGGGGTTGGCCCACGGCATGGGGAAGGATGCCGGGCTCCACCGCAACCCTGCCGAGACACAGAACTGAAGGGGTTTAAATACAAGAGGGCTGGGAGCTTCCAGGGTCACTGCAACCCTCCAACCCTCAATGATCCTCCCCTATCCACACTGAGGTAACATGCGCTGCTTCCGTGGCTGCAGGAACTGAAGTGGGGATAGTCCCAACCCACCACCCCACCTAGTGGACACTTATGTTGTGTAATGTCTGAAGTCTGTTGCATATATGTTTGAGGTGTTTTTTTTTTTTGAAGAGCAAAGCTGCCCTCCCTATGGAGGGTAGCTCTGAAGTGCCTTTTTTCCCCTCCACCTGAACCAACCCTCATGTAAACCCCTCTTATCTCTATTAAAGTAGTGCGACTCATGGTTGCGAATGACCACAATCACCAATTCTTGTCATGTGTCTTGTCCATGTATGTCTGATCTCTGAATTGTGTGTACTGAAACTCTAATTTACCTCTGGGATTAATAAAGTATCATTGATTGATTGATTGATTGATTGATTGGCTTGCTTTTTGCACCCCTTAGTGTCCGTTTGTACAACCAAAAGCAAAACCATTCTCCTCGCTGTGCATCACGGTAAGGGTTAGGGTCTTTTAAACACCTTAATCTAACAGCTGAAATGACTCCTCAGCCTTCATTAGTGTCTACATGAGTGATTCATCACTAAATTAAACCAATCAGCTGTGTTTATGATGTAAAACATGCAGTAAACATGCTGGAAGCCAACTGCAAGAATGACAGCTCAATCTTCTCAACAGAGCGGCTCGCCAGTCTGAAGTTGCGGGTAGAAAATTCTGGCAACAGGGGGCAATAGGGGGTGGGCGGCCTTTCATTAACCCTGTAAAGCAGGAGGATGTCGGACCTGGAAGGCCGGAATCCAGCATGTTTTAGTTTTAACTCTGTTTCAACACACCTGATTTCAATCAGCAAGTCATTAACAGGCTTCTTCAGAGCTTGATGAGCTGCTGCACAGGTGATTCAACCATTGAATCAAGTGACTTGGATAAGAGAAACCACAAAAATGTGCAAGATACCAGTGTCGGTACAGGATCTGCTCGGGTGCAATATCGGCTTGGGGTCCTTCGACTGCCGATGACGTCAAAGTACGGCAAACCCACTCGGACAAAATACAGTACACATCTATACTGTTGGAAAGAATTTAGCAGTTTCGTTATTAAAATAATGTTTCTTAAGACGCAAGTTTGTGTTTATAATGGTATTTGTAAAATAAAACACTATATTGTATTCATAATGTTGAACTCCTCTTTGAGCACATCCCTTGAAGGATCATAGGCATTAGCAACACCTGTGAAACTTTATTTGCAGGAAAGAAGTGTGTCCCGTTTATTGAAGTATTTTGTGTTTAGTTTTTTATGTCTTGTCCGTTCAGGTACGCTCATAGCTGCTAGCCAAAACTCTGGAGTTAAAAGTTTCCTGGCTTTACTAAAATACCTGTCTGTACTTATTTGATTGATGGTAGTTTTACTTTATATTAGACTCCAAATGTAATCATTTGGCACGTTTCTAATTCATAATTTGTAAGAATGTAATCGGTGATATTAGCATTAGCATTCCTATGGGTTTTTCCATGTCTATTAGCATTGCGCTAACCACTCGCTGCCAAATTGCAGCCTTTGCGATTAGAAAATCTCCTTTTGTCACATCTCAATTTAATTGCACATGCAGTTAATCGTTCAGCCCTAATATACATGCAGCTCTATGCTAAAAGTGTATTTTCAAAGAGGTAATGATGGATTTCTTTGTAAACGTTGTCCATCTTTCCAACAGAAAAATTTGCCTGGACCAACGTAACGTGATAACAACGTAACGTGATTACGTAATTCCGTAA